ATGTTTGTAACTCGCTGATGGCCCCTGCGGCCAAAGCCTTTGTAATTCCTTGTAATGATCGCAACGCTCTTACGCGAATCGGAAATAAGATCGACTTTTTTTTATATAAATTCGTTTTACTATGTTTTTCATATTTTTCCGCATTTATTTGGTTACTTGTCGTTGGCTTTCGCAGAGATCCGGTTCCTCTGGAAAATTAGGGTTTTCCTAAGTTTCCTTATTTAACGGAAATCGACAAGTGTGAATTTCGGTTCCCACAGAAATAATAAATTATTACTTAGTACTGTAAAGATACAAGAAATGGGAAATGCTATACATGAAAAACTATGTGCTGGTGAAAATATAGCTACAAAAGAAAGAGATGAAAAAAAAGAGATGGATTAGGTTTGTGTTGAATTAATACTGGATTAGGTTTGAGTTCAATCGATTTTAGGTTCGTGTCTTTTTAATTACAAAATTATTTAATAATTTGTTCAAAAAAACAAGACAGGGATAAAGTTGGGTTATGTTTCTCCAGCTTCTTCTTCTTCTTTTTTTTTTTTCCGTAGAGGACGACATGGATGGATTAAATTTATGTCTTCATAATTACACAATTATTTAACAATTTAGATATTTATAAAGTTAATATTTTTTGAAATTGTATATTCATATGTTCAAAGATATTATAAGATTTATTAGATTAAAGTCTTATAAAAATATATGTGAATATCTTTTTATTTATAAGTATCACACGGTAAACAAATATTATACCAAATTGATTTCTGTTTTCGTAGTTTCTCTTCTTTCAATTGGTTATGCTAAAACAGAATAGAAACCCAGTCTCCTTATCAAATCTTTTTTATCCATTTTTAATCCTTTTTAACTTTTCAATTTATAAAATTTGATAAAATAAAAAATTTTATCAATAGATAATAATAAAAAATACAAACAAGTAATGAAATGCCTAAATTCACAAATTAATATTTTTTCATTTTAAAAAATTATTAAATTAAAAATTTTAATTTTATTCTACGAAAAATAGATTTTATCTTCTACGAAAAATGGAATGGTAGAAATCACATTCCACGTCAAACAAGTAACACTAATTTTTTTTAGAACCGGCAATTTACTTTTATAAAGAACTCTAAATATGAAGCATGTGATGTCGACTTAATGTAAGATGTTCTACAAAATAATTGAATACAGATTATACTTTTTGAACCAATTCTAAAACTTTCTGAATAAGTAATCTAGACATAGTAAGAAGCGTACTTATAGTAGAATCTGTTTGTAGGAAACTTTTATGGTTTCTACGTTGTATAGAAGATACATTCAACATATAAGGTAAACACAAATTTCAAAAATTTAAGAAATTATTTATGAAATAATCTAAAAATAAATTGTAATATTTGTAGTTGCCTTAAACGTGAGGAAACAATTTCTCTTGTTAAGAAAACCCAAAAAATATGGACTAAAGGTTGGCTTATTCATCCAACCTAGATTTCTCCATTGTTTTTTTTTTCTTATTTTCTCAAACTTTTTTTTGTATGATGCATATCTATACGACTTATGGTGTATGGAAATTAAGTGCAACAACCGGATGAGTGTTTTCAAAGATAAATTTATATTTTCAAAGATATAATAAGATTTTATTAGATTACAGTCTTATAAAAATATGTGTGAATATCTTTTTATTTGTTATTAGTTGATATAATTGAATAATTTAGTTATTATGTGACATATTCTGATTCATAATTAATATATAAATATAAGTTTGGTAGTATCACACGGTAGACAAATATTATACCCAAATTGACTTTTTTTTAATAGTTCTGGTCTTCTTTCAATTGGTTATAATATGTTTAGTTGTCATCTTGCTCTCAAAGATAGGGTTCTTAAAGCAGAGGTCCAATATGCACTGGTTTCAAGTATGAAATAGAAATAATAAATTCTTTCACAGTGTTGTAAAGATACGAGAAATGAGAAATGCTATACATGAAATTATATGTGCTGATGAAAATATAGCTACAAAGAAAAAAGAGATAAAGAAAGAAGCCGAATGTTTATTTGCAGAATTTATGTCAATGCAACAAGTAGAATTTGAAGGTGTTACAATAAGGAGGTTAGAAGAATTATTGGGATTAACTTGCAGTGAAGATGATTGTAACAGTCTGGTAAAGGAAGTAACTAAGGAGGAAATAAAAGATGTATTATTCAAAATACTGGGGAATAAATCATCGGTTCCAGATGGTTTCACATCAGAGTTTTTCAAAGAATCTTGGGGTGTGATTGGGGATGATATTATTGTGGCAGTTTAATCATTTTTAATCAAGGAATTCTTACTGAAAGGTTTGAATTCAACCATCTTGACCTTGATACCGAAGAAATGAAAGATTACTTACTCATTTCCTGCTGCAATGTACTTTGTAATGTAATCTCTAAAATATTGGCAAATAAGCTAAAAATATTATGTCTTAAGTTTATTACGCTGAATCAATCTGCATTTGTCAAGAGAGATTGTTGATGGAAAATGTTCTTCTAGCCACTGAATTAGCTAAAGATAGTATTCCATTTCTCCTAGACATCTCTAAAGATTTTGACTCAGTGCAATGACACTTTGAAGGCAATGGGGTTGCCGGATAAGTTTATTCATTGGATTTCTGTGTCTGTAACAACTGCTTCATATTCGGTGCAAGTGAATGGTGAATTTGCTGGTTACTTTCAGAGCAGGGAGAGGCTTGAGGCAGGAGTGTTCACTCTCAGCGTATCTCTTTGTTATCAGCATGAATGTGTTGTCAAAAATGATAGATGAAGCAGTTATAGAGAGAAGGATATGATATCATCCACGTTACAAAAACATAGATTTTACTCACCTATGTTTTGTAGATGATTTGATGATATTTGCAATGGAAAGAAGATATCAATATAGGGGATACTAAATGTGTTTGAGGAATTTGATAGAATGACAGGTCTGATGATTAGTATGGAAAAATCGACCTTGTTTATGGAATCAAAGAGAAGAGGCAAGAAGAGATTCTCAACCATTTTTCATTTGCAGCAGGATCATTTCGAGTAAGATATTTGGGTCATCCCCTCCTAATATGAAAGTCTCAGATTA